ATTTTTGGTTTGGTATTAATTTGATATCAAACCAAATCTTTGAATGCCTTTACCTATGGCGTTTTAGTAGGTAATATATGATATATTTGGAATAAGTTTACATGTGCAGCTCAGTTACTTACAGGGAAAATTTTGGGAAGAATGATATATTTGGAATAAACAAGAACAATGATTAGCTTTGAAGAGTTTCTTAAAAAATTAGTTAACTAACTAAAAAGGCTTTTTAATGCAATTTAAAGAAAGGTTCCAAATATGGTTTAGGCCGTTAGCAATATTGAAATTAAATAAGGGAGAGTGTCATAGGAATCCTCGACATTAAGACATTAAAACCCCAGATTCCAGACAACCTTCTTCTCCAAGAAAAAGTAGCGTTGCCATGGCCGAAAAAGCTCAGAAAATGTGTTATGAGAGGAGGGCAGCGTGCATCATCAAGAAAAGCAAGGAGCTGGGAATATTGTGCGGTTTGAAAATAGGTGTTGTTATCCTCGGCCCTGACGGCAAACTGGAGAGTTGGCCCCCGGAACTCAACGAAGTCAAGGTTTTGCTCGAGGCCGGCAAGGAAAGGACTAGGGTTAAGAACGAGAAAAGGAAAGGAGATAATCCTGAGACTTGTCACAGGGAGATTTTGGTTTCAAAACTGCAGCTTTTGAACCAGAGGGTGGAGTTCTTTAAGGGCAAAGAGACTGTGGTGAGAAGCAAGAAAAGGAAAGACGAGTTTGGTGACAATTCAGCACCACCTGCATCTGCATATGCTGAGGGCAAAGAGATTGAGCTTTTTGATGATCTTGACTTCTTCTTTAAATTTGTAGAAGAAGAACACAAGAATCCACAAAACAATGGTGCCAATAATTCTGCAACATTGAAGGCCAAAGAAATTGCTACAATGGATTCAGGTACCCTCCAAGCTGCATGTGGTGTTAGATTTGAAGCCTGTTATCCACTGCAAAATTCTTTCACTGCTTTACCCCCCACAGCCACAGCCACAGCCACAGCTGCTGAAGAGTGTGGGGAAGTTGAGGTGAGGAAGAAAGCCAGGCTTCAATACCCCACTGCTGCTTTGAATAACAATCTGCCCCTATTTACCCCCCCCCCTGCTGCAGAGTATTGGGAATCTATGTTCACTAATTCAGGACTGCTAGATTCTACTGATGCTATGCTGTCACTTCTACAAGACCTTTAATTTGCAAACCTTAAATTGCTCCGTTTACCAACAAAAAACTATTCTCTGTTTTCTATTTTCTAATTTTTCAGTTTTCATTTTCTGTTTTCTATTTAGAAAACTTGTTTACTAACAGAAAATTGTTCTCTATTTTCTGTTTTCACCTAAAATTTAGTTTAGATAATAATAATATTTTTTGAGCTAATATTTAAAATTTTTTTTTTTTTTTGGATATATTCGATCATTTGAATGACATGTATAAGAATATATAACTTTTATTTTGAATTCTAAACACTCTTGGTTTTGGTAAGAAACATGATGCCACTGTTGATATACCACTTGATACAATGAATGTAATGTAACTAATAATACAGCACAGGATTTTTTATTTTTATTTTTAAGAGAAGAGCATGGCAGCATGCATGCATGCATGCTCGAGGATTGCTATTTTACCAATCTACAGGTTAAAGCTGTATATGTAAAGAACTTGCACAGAAATATCACTGAAGATGAGTTGAAAAATGTATTTGAACATCATGGGAAGATTACTAAAGTTGTTGTGATCTACCACCAGCTAAAGCTGGGCATGAAAAGATCAGAGTAGATATGGTTTTGTTCACTTTGCTGATTGTGATAATTGCTTTCTGGTCTTCTCATTGGATTTCTGGTCTTGTAAGTACCCTATATATATATATATTATGAAATGTGTGCATAAGGAAAGATTGAGTGCCATGAAGGTTTGTTTGTTTTTGTGTGTGTGTGTGTGTTACACAGTCTTCTCCCACTCCAAAGGAAATGTGTGCATTTTCACTTTCCAATTGTTATGGAATATATAATTTTGATATATAGAATCTCTATATATTAGGCAGTTTTAGGAATTTAGGTAGGTAGGACATATGGAAACTTGTTTCCAATTCGTAGTCTTCTAAGTACCTATTTATATATAGGGCTTTGTATTATCGATCTTTTCTAAATGACAGTTTGAGACAATATACGACAGCATATTAGAAACTCTCTCTTTCCTTTCGTAACACCAATAAATGTGTGTGCAGCTATTGTTGGATCTTTACACAGTCTTCTCCCACTGTTTATATACCAGTTGAGTCTGATGTTGTATCAAACTTGGGAAGCAGATTTGAAAAGGAGAGAAAGGGTCAGTTCCAAAGTTGTGTTTGAATGCTCATATTATGAGATCTGTTGCATGTTGTATTTATTGAGAATCAATATCAGTTTCCTAGTGTGATCAAAAGGATTTTGAAAGACTGTTATACATTTTTTGTTTTTTAAATATTACTTACTCAAAAGTAAGATCAAATATGGTTTTTGCTATCCATTCTCGATGATCTGCTTAGACTTTTGAAGTACTGCTTGATTGAGTTTGAAGTAATATTGTGCAATGTATACAAAATTTCTTGCTGGCTTTAGTCAAGTTTAACTTATGTGAAAAATACTTTTCAAAAGTTACCCAATTATGAAACTAAATTGGTTTTTGTTCTTGAAACTTCATTTGCTAACACTTGCATTTTCTTTCCATCTGTTCTTCAAATTTCATTTACTCTTGGTTTTTGTCAGAAACATTATGCAACTGTTGATATACCACTTGATACAATGAATGTAATGTAATTAATAATACAGCACACGATTTTTTTTTTTTTTATTACAAAAGATGTGTGGTTTTAACTTGTGAGTTGAGTCTGAGAGATGTCACTCTTAAGAGAAAAGAACAATTAGGTAATTTTTTTTATGGAATAAGGTTTAAATTGGTCACTGAACGTAACCTGAAAATGCAATTAGGTCACTGAATGAAAAAAAAAAAAAAAAAAGTGCAATTAGGTCACTAAACACTCCAAATGTATGCAATTTCACCTGATAGGTTACCATCATTTTTAGCAGGTTACCTGCTTACGTGGCAGCTGAGTTGGCATTTTTAATAATTTTTAATAAAGTTTAAAAAAAATTAATTTAAAACAAATTTATTTATTTAAAAAAAAATTCAATTTTTTTTTTAAAAATGTATTATTAAAAGTTATTAAAAATGCCAACTCAGCCGCCACGTAAGCAGGTAACCTGCTATCCGGTGAAATTGCATACATTTTGAGTGTTCAGTGGCCTAATTGCACGTTTTTGGGTGTTCAGTGGTCTAATTGCATCTTTTTTTTTCGTTTAGTGACCTAATTGCATTTTCAGGTTACGTTCAGTGGCCAATTTGAACTTTATTCCTTTTTTTATTGACTGGAAACTAAAAAAAAAAAAAAAAAAAAAAAAAATTAGGCTCTTACCCTACAAGAATTTTAGGCTCTACTCATCATTCAAGACTTAAATCATATATATGTTGTTGGAAATTCTTCTTTTGATAATCTAATTTTGTTTGATATTAAAAATATGTTCAGTAGTCATTTTGCTCATATATATTTGGAGTTAATGCCAGCCCAGGTCCCTCGATTTTGGTGGTTCCGCCAACTATCGTCCTTAATTTTAATATGTCTTAGTGTAGCCATCCGACTTTGTAATTTTGACCTCCAACGGTCCTCCAGTTAGTATCTCACGTTTGCACCCTTAATTTTAAGGGTAAAATGGTCATTTCTCATTAGTTATTGATTTTTAAAAGATAAAATAAATATTTAATTATTAAATAATAATAATAATAATATTTAAAAAAAAAAAATAGAACACCCGCCGGCAGGGTCTCTTCGTCTCCTGGTCGGAGACGAAGGTCCCTTGGTCTCCATGGCCGGAGACGAACCTCTTCGTCTCTGGCCAGGAGACGAAGGGACCCTGTCGGAGACGAAGACTTCTTCGTCAGTTGTTTGTTTTTTTTTTTTTTTTTTTTTTTTTTTTTTGTTTTTTTAAATTTAAAATATTTATTTTATTTAAAATTATTTTAAAAAATAATTTTTAAATTTGATAAGACCAGGTAAACAAGTAATTTTGGGTTAAATTGTCTGAGTTTGTGTTGTTCAGGTATACTTTCTCAATTTATTGCACCTAGGGGTGAGCGTAATTTGCACCGAGCTACCACCCGAAACCCAAATTGAATTTTAAATTTCGGGTGAATCTGAATAGTTATCGATTTGAATATTTTAAAATTTAGTATATCCGAATATTATATGAAAAAGTATAAATACAAAAATAATAAAACCGTTATAAAATTTAAAATTGATAAAAATAAAATTTTGGGTATATCCAAACTAACCCGAAATAATTTCACTCGAACCAAATATATCCAAATTAAATTTGGTTAGGATATCAGGTGTCAAAAGCATCACTCAAAATTTTCGGATATTCGAAATAAAATTAAGGTGTCACATGAACCCAACCGACGCCCACCCCTAATTGCAGCCCAAAGAACTACTCTAAATATGTGTTTCTAACTTTAAAAATCAATAAATAACGAGAAATTACTATTTTACCCATGAAATTAACTATGCAAACGTGAGATACTAACGGGAGAACGGCTGGAGGTTAAAATTACAAAAGTCAAATGACTACATTGAGACTTATTAAAGTTATATATAAATGACAATAGCTGACGGAATCACCAAAGTCAAGGGACCTTGGCTGGCAGTAACTCTATATATTTGTATCTCGTTTGTCAAGTGTACAATCAAACACTACCTTACTACTCCTTTCTACCATTTCGTTTGCATTACTCTTCTTTCTAATATATCTCAAAATAATATCAAAGAAATTATGTTTTTTAAATTATCTTTAAACTTTTAACTGGTAGGTTCCAATATATTATTTTTTAATAATCTCATTTGTTTCATAAATGTGGCGCCAAACTCATCTATTTTGGTAAACTGGGCTTCATATATATTTTACATAAAATTTTCAAACAAATTTAGGCTTCTTTATGATACAAAACATTGTTGTTCCTAGAAGGTTGAATCCCCAACTCCAATGCTCCTCCACTTTCCGACTCAACAAAGCATTTTGGAGGATATAAATCATGGTAATTCAGCTGAACACAGAGGCTAAATATTTGCTTATGAGCATAACGAGCCTCTGACTTTGAAAACATGAAAAGACAATTGAAGTGTAGAATGTATGTTAAAGAATCATCTCATCATAAAGTACCTTTTTTCTGCACATAGATTTTATTGTTCCACTGCTTTTAAACCCAACCCTTCTAACCTCTATGCCACGCTCCGAACATTGTTTTCTTTCGCTTTCTTTGACGAGGGTTGATGCAGCTTTTTCTGATTTACATTTGTTGTTATTAATTAAATTTTGATTATTATCTTTGACTTTATTATTGTCTTTTTGGGGTTGAATGCCATCGATTAATGCATTGCTAAACGAATATGTTTTAGACTGCTGAGAGCATTGCCTGATTGCCTGTCCTTCTATAATGTCCGATAAGGCGTCAACCACCTGCATTATTGTTATTACCAAAAAAACATATATGTCAATATTTATTCAAATTAGCTAGGTAGGATCAATAAAGATTAGAAATGTCAACAAGTCTTGTATCTTTGGGTAATTGGGTATCTATTCGATACTCTCAAACCCTAGTAAGATAGATTTTATTAAATAGGAAAATACTTTACCCGACTCTCAAACATACACAATATTTTGTTAGATATATATATATATGTCAACAAATCTGGTATTTTTGGGTACTCACTCTTAGAGTTGTCAAAAATGGGTTTTACCCGCCGGGTCGACCCGTCCCGTACCGCCGTAGGTAGGGGACGTGTTCTTCAAATTTTGATCCGCCAGGAGGCGGGCATTTAGCCCGCCCCGCCTGGGTCACGAGTCCAGGCGGGGCGGGTCAGGCGGGTCACGGGTTTAGCCCGCGACCTGCTAATACATATATATTTTGTATATATATTTAGTATTTAATACATATTATTTTTTGTGTTATTTTGGTTTGTGTAATTGTGTTAGTGTGTTATAACTTATAGGATTATAGATTTATAGGAATACAATACTAGGTAGTGTTACTGTATGTCTGTACAGTGATTCTTTTTTTTTTTTTTTGAAGGATATTGTACAATGATTTTTTTTTAAAAAAAAAAAATTAACACAGTGAAAAAATTGATTGGCGGGCTAGCCCGCCCCGCCAGCGGGCTTTGGCATGGCGGGACGGGCCGATCACATTCCAAGCCCGCTAAGAGGCGGGTTTTTTAGCCCGTCCCGCTACGAGGACGGGCTTTGGTGTGTTTTGGCCCGTTTCGCCCCGCGAGACGTTTTGACGGCTCTACTCACTCTGCCAAACCCTAATAAGAAGAGTTTAGATAAAAAAAATAGTTTACCTCCCAAAAATTTCATTATTTAGCACAAAATTGCAATTCCCTCTAACTAGGGGTGTCAAAGTAGGCCTAAACCCACAGGACAGCCCTAAAACGCCCTGCAGTTGGGCGGACTTTCCAAGATCATTTTTGTTTTTATTTATTTATTTATTCATTTTCAATTCCCAGTAATTACAATTCATTTTCCCCGTCGCCTTAATTCATTTGCCTTAATTAGCTTTCAACCAAACGCCCGTAATAGCATATATATACATACAAATTTGCAATTGGTCGAGTGGTAAGATAGACTTACACATTTCATGGGTGGCCTCTTGTTGGGATCCTTCCTCAAGCATTCCTCAACCAGTTGCACCATACCAAAGAGTTGGTGGACGTCATGAGAATCAACAATCCTTGTGTCAATAAGACGTGGGTAATTCTTCTGCTCCAAAACTGGGACTGCCTGCAGTATTATTATATTGTATGTATGTATTTCAACATTGAATTCTTGATTCTATTTTGTGCAGCGGATCATAAACTGTACTGTAACCTAATGGGGTAGCTCAAGTGGCAAATGAGTTTGGGGAAAATCTGGGTTCGATTCCCCTTAGCCCAGAGTGAATGAGGATTAGTCGGGCACATCTGAACCGTTAAATGGACAGTATATATTATAGAATGAAGAGTTGAGTTGATGATTATAGTAGAAATATAGGTACCCATTCAACAAGGCTCCTGCCTTTGAGACGCTCGTCAGTATTGTTGAGTCCAGTTATAAGCTGCAATAAGACGAGTCCGAAAGAATAAACATCTGTTTTTGTTGAGAATTTGCCAGTCTCTGCATATTCAGGGGCAATATATCCCAGTGCCCCAACTACACTCTCATTTGAGAACTCATTATTATTTGACTCATCATTATTGCTCCTTGCTCTTGCAAGTCCAAAATCTCCTAGCTGCATACATACATATATAAAGATTATATTTTCATACATGAATTGAATCATAAAATTAATTATATATAGCATATATATATATATATACCTACCAGAGATTGATGATCATGGGTGATGAGAATATTGTTAGGTCTAATATCTCTGTGTATGATTTTTTGTGCATGCAAATACTCTAAACCTTTAGCAGCTCCCACTGCTATCTTCAATCTCTGCTCCCAGTTTAGAGGTATCATAGCATCACCTGCAATATAATTTCAAAACATAACAATAAATTAAAACTAAATATCCTTCATTCAACTAGTAATACAAACATACATCCATTTTCTAATGTCGGACAAAAGCTTAAGCTTTCCTAATTCTATTTTTCCTATTCGAATTAATTTTTCATTTATCCATTATCCATTTTGTACATATAACATAACAAATTAACTTCTCACTCAAGAGAACTCGAATCCACTTTAACCTGACTCAAATCAGATCAGAAGTGGACCATATATACAGAAAATTATTATGGCCTTGTTTGGTAAAAAATTGGCCTATAGGCTAATTTTGACTTATTTGACCACTATTAATTGTTTGATTTACTTAAAATATCAATATAACAGGGCGTTTGGTTGAAAAGAATTTAAATTCTCTTCCCACATAATTTTAAAGGCCACAAAATTCTCTTTGTTTGGTTGAAAGGAATTGCAATTCTCCCATTTTCATGGAATTAAAATCCCATGTCCCCCGGGATTTTAATTCCTGGGATATTAGGAAGAAAAAAAGATAGTGATGAGTCAAAATTGCCCCTTTCTTTTTTAACCTAAAATTAATGCTTAACAACAACAATGGACATTTTTGACTTTATACTACTTATACCCTTTCAATTCCCATGTATACCAAACATTGGAATTGAAATTCCCAATAATTCTATTCCTGTAAACCAAACACTGGAATTGAAATTCCCACTTTATTCCCAGTAATTCATCTTCCATGGAATTGCAATTCCTTTCCTACGTAATTCCCCATCTCCAACCAAATGCCCTGTAAGTGTTTGTTTAATTAGCTTTTTGCAACTCCAAAATGCTAAAATTCAAAAAACTACTCCAAACAATTTTTTCAATTAGCTTTTTCACAAAAGAAATTATATCAAACAGCTACCAGCTAACAACTAATTTACCAAACACTTTTCTACACCAACTAATGTTATCAACTAGTTATACTCTCTAATTAACGCAATCAGCTAACAACTAACCGCCATTTACCAAACAGGCCTATACCACAAAATAACCAGCAAAAAATGATATATTGAATTGGGAGCTTACTTGAGAGATGTTCATTTAGGGAGCCATTGCAGACATATTCATAAACCAGCAACCTATGAGTCCCTTCAGAACATGAACCTAACAGCATTACCAGATTCTCATGTGTGGCTCTGCTCAGAACATCAACCTCTGATTTGAACTCTCTCTCCCCCTGAAGGCTCATCATGTTCTTGTGCTGCTTCACAGCTATTTTCACCCCATTCTTCAACTTCCCTTTGTAAACGCAACCAAACCCGCCTTCTGATAAATAGTTCTCTCCCAAAAACCCACCCGTCGCCTCCTCAAGCTCTGCATATGTGAAGTCTTTCTTCCCTCCTCCTGGCTTAGCCGCCGGCCTCTTGTTCTGGCACAATGAGCAAACCGAATTCGAAAATAATAATGTCGTCTCTTCCACATTCTCCTCCATTTCTTCAACTTTGTTGTTGTTGTTTTCAGACCCATCTTTCTTGCTGTCAACGCTACTGGAGATTGAAGCTGTGGCGACTGGTTTTGATGGGTCATTTAGTGATGATTCTGGCAATATAATCAAAATGAATTTAATATATATTGACTCGATCTGTTTGGTAGAATTTAATATTGAAATGAGTGAATTAGCATACGTACTTTGTCGAGAAGAAGAAGAGAGTTTTCCTCGGGAGGATGGTATCATTTCATTGTACGACATTTGGGCGGCGGCGCTTGTGGTGGTGGGCGCGGCGGCGGCGGTTGTGGGGGATGTTTTTTGGGTGGGTAGCGGCGGTGCTCTCACTTGCTCCGCCGTATTATCACTCTTCACCTTCCATATGCCGCAACTTAACTTCTTCATGAAGTACTTTCTCTCTTTCTTCATCTCCCTGTCTAAAACTATCCAAGTAGCCTCCAAATCCTTGGCGCTTTCCACCGCAACCACTTTTCTTGAAACCCCAACACGTACGTCTACCCAAAGCTTAACCTGATAATAATAATATAATAATGCACATCTATGTTATAATTTAAATATAATAGTATATACACACACATATACGTACTATAATTACTATGTGTATATATTGAATGTATATATATAGGATTTGGATTAAATAAGAAGGGACGCAGAAGAGAATTAGGGATCAATGAAAGCCGTCCATCTCAAAAGATTATTTAACTGCTTTAAATTAAAGCAGTGAGGGAAGAAAAAATTGGTTATATTTTCGTAAATAACTAGCTAGAACTTTAATTACAAGTAATAATACTATGGAGTGCATTAATATCATAGATTAGAGTGCAACAATATAATAGTACACGTACATGCCCAACAAATATTAAATGCGGGTAACATTATCATTATTTGTACCGTTGTGAAATGTAATTACTTACTTGCACTCTATATATATACTGTTAAATGTTGCACTTTATAGTGATGTTACTTGCAATTAAAAGTTTAAGTTATCTCTGCGTTTCTTTATCTCCGTGTTTCCTTCTCTAACATGGGTGACCAGTTGGTCACCTTCTCTTGTAGACAGCGACCGGCGACAATTCTGTGATTTTGCCGGCCGCCGGATTGTCATCAGAAATGGATAAAATTGATGTTAGATTCTTAATAATGACTTGTAATAGCATGTCGTTTATCAGTTTTTGAACTTTATTACCTAAACATAACATGTTAAAAGGTGTAATTACATTTTTTTTATAAGTTTAAGGGGCTAATTGACTTTTTAGATAAAATTTAGGGCTTATACCTTTTCCCTTATTAATATTAATTAACATAATTTGTTAGTGGTGGACTAAAAATGTAATTAACTTCACATATAATTAATGGGAAAAATTTGTGTGTAATAATAATTTTGGACTGAGTTCTTTTATGAACAACAATTCTCACATGAGTGCACTCCTCTGATCTCTATATATATAATCTAATTATCAACTTTTAATTAAAATAAAAAATATTCTTCATTTATGGAGAATTGACCTTTTGAAGTTGGCATTGTTTAGAGAGGGCAAGCATCTCCGCATATGTACAGGGCCGGTTCTGTTCCTTATCCCCATGATCCATTTCTTCTTCTCTCATATCATTTGAAATCGTCATTGTCGTCTCATATCCCACTGCATAAGCAGATTTTTTATTATTTTTTTTTAAATCAAGAATATGGTACCAAATTTTTAAAATATAAATATATTTGATTCATGAGTAACCGGTATAGATTCAATTGTTATGTCTTTTTTCAATGTAGTATATGTTCATAATTAATTTCTCAACCTACTGAAATACAAATAGTCAATACTGACTTCTATCAGGTCTTGAAGCAACAACCTCAGTCCAGTCTTGGTGCCATTATTAGATCACAAAGTCTTGGCGACCCTAATTCTATATGGGTCGGACCAAATGTCATTTTCTCAAAGAAAAAGAAAAAGAAGTTTGAAAAAAAAAAAGGGGGGGGGGGCAGGCTTACATTGTTTAGCAGCTGCCAAGAAATCCAAGGTAGCAGGATCATTGAGATGGTGAACAACTCCCAGAAGTATAAGCTCATCCCCAGGGTTTAAACACAAACCCTCATTAACAACCCATCTTATTGCACTCCAACAACTTTGTTTTGACACATCATGGATCACCATCACCTTCTGCATCATCTGCCCTCCCTCCATTATATTCTTTTTCAATATGTTACGTCTAAACTCGAGAATATTCAATTCGGGGAATTTGAGGGGAAATAACTTTGGTAGAAGAGGTAAATTAAGAATGTATATATGTTGCAAAGGATTCAGATTCTCTATCATACCCTCTAAGTGCTGCTATATATAAAGTAATCTATGATGAATATTAAAGAAATTTTGATGATTTCTATGCCTTTAATTTGTTCCCAACTCATTTGTCGATTGCAAACGGCAAGAGATTCATCAGTGTGAATGGATTGGGACATTTTTTTTTTTATTATTACGTAAAAAAGAAGAAGTTATATTCGAATTGAATGTTATCTCTGAAAATATAATGTGTTTTAATTCAAGTTATGTCTAAGATTTTTGTCAGCTTTTTTAAATTATACATTTTACTTTAAATATTGTATGTACATTTTATTTGACAAAATTATTTTAATTTTAGTGTATTTTTGTTAGACAAAATTACACTTATACCATTATAACTCTATTACTATTTAATAATTCTATCACTATTACCATAATAACCACACATACATCTATCATATCTTTTCTATTCTTTAATTATTATTTTATTAAAATCATCATAGAGTTAGTTCCATCTTTAGTCTTAAATTTACAGGTAGCAATCCACTTTAAGAGTTTAAGGCCCTGTTTGGTAAAATGGCTGTTAGCTGATAGTTGTTAGTGGTTAGCTGATTGTGTTAATTAGAGCGTATAAATAGTTGATAACATTAGCTGATTGTAGAAAACTGTTTGGTAAATTAGCTGTTAGCTGTTAGCTGTTTGGTATAATTTCTTTTCTCAAAAAGCTAATTGAAAAAGTTGTTTGGGTAGCTTTTTCAATTTTAGCCTTTTGGAATTGTAAAAAGCTAATTAACCAAACATTTATATTGATATTTTAACTAAATCAAACAATTAATAGTGGTCAAATAAGCCAAAATTGGCCTATAAGCTAACTTTTTACCAAATAGGGCCTAAGTCTTTTTTATCATAACAACCATTTTTGGTCCTACAATTATTGTGGCATGACCAGTGTTGCAAAAATCGCGCCTAGGCGGTCGGCCACCTAGGCGCCCGCCTAGGCGCTCTAGGCGCCGATTAATCGCTCTAGGCGCCCGCCTAGGCGCTCTAGGAGCCCTAGGCGGTCCCCAGGCGCCTAGCGATTTTTGCAACCTTGGGCATGACCATTTTTAATTTGGTCCTTTATCGACAAAACAATTTAAATATCACTAAATACAAGGGCTTCTTCGTCTTCAGTTATGGATTTTTTTTAAAAAAAAATATAACAAATAACTTACTTTGTATAAAAAAGATCAAAATATCTTTGTATTTAACGACATTTCAACGATTTTGTTGATGGATGACTAAAAATGGTAATGTCACAATAATACTATAGCTAAATGGGGATGTTTTAATAAAAAAGAATTAAAAATGGATTGTCACCTATAAATCTAGGACTAAAAATGAAATTAACTCAATCATCATATAAAAATTAATTTAATGGTAGATTATATTTTAATTAAATATATATAAATGTAAAATCATATGTGTATATAGTACATATATTATTTGTCTATATATACCAATATATGTAGGTGTTAGCTTAGTATTATAGATATTTTCAAAAAAAAATTTGTTTGTAAATATAAATTTTATGAAAAGTGTGTACATTATTATTAAACAAAAATATTAATTCTTTCTCTTTTTTTCTCTATATTACTCAAATAGGATAATTAAAATTTTTGAGTTTAAGAAATTGTAAATTATAATTTGAATTATTTTTATTTAGTAGTATTTTAATATTGGAAATGAATTTTTGCACAGGTACAAAATGCTCATATTAATATATGTTTAGATGGCGATTTTTTAAAATTCATTGTAAAAACTGCATAGTAAAATCCATATTCTATAGTTGTGCTTGATTCTAGATTAGTTTTAATTTTGAGTTTAACTAAGCTACTATTAATGCATATTTAATTTTTAGATAAAGAAAATTTTAAATTGTGAATTCTCATCTTTTGTTGGTGAGTTTTTAATTTTTCTTAAAAAATTTAACATTTCTTTCCTTACCTCGTGATAGATTCTAAATTCTAAATAAAGAGTCCTAAAGAAATCAAACTCTCAAAGTCAAATATACAATAGGGACTTTGCCAATGAAATTGGTAGACATGAAAATTTCCTTTCTAAAAAGAGAATTAAAATTAAAATTTAATAATTTTGAATTGTCACCGTGAAAGGTGTATTTCATTAGTTTTTTTTGTGTGTGTGTCTCAGAATTTTTATCGTTGGACACAATGATTAATTCCTTTGTTGAATTGTAAATACTTCCTTTTAGTGGGTCAACTGGCCTAAAGATTTAAGGCATTCCGCGTTTATATATTGACAGCTCAAATTCTTGAAATTGTCACTTGACAGAAGTTCCTAAGCTGGGCTGACGCTTCTTTGAAAGGGACATACCATACAAGAACAAAATGGCATTCTTCTTCTTTTTTATTTTTTAAAAATACAAATTCATTTATTGGCCTGCATTCTGCACTATACAAGATCACTATACCATTCTTTATTCGGCTTCAACTTTGTCTGCATTCGAGGAACTATTTTTCCTGCTGATTCAAGAATAGATTCAAGGTTCTAAAAGCCGCTAGGCTACGTACTTTAATAAAAAAAATAATAATAATATTTTATCTGCCTTTTAAAAAAATCAAACATTAAAATTTAATTTTATTCCAAAATTTAAAAGTCTAATTTAAATCTAAATTCTTTAAAAACTAAAAACCAGTTTCATATTCTTCCTATAAAGTATTATCATCTCTCTACAACTCCAACAACAGTGAGTAATGAATTGATTACTTCAAACTGCAAGTAAAAGTTACATAATAAAATCCAACCATCTAACTAAGCGAGGGTTAACATAATCGGCTGCATAAATGAACACCAATATTAAAATACTTATCGTCTAGGAACACTTAGTGCCTAGGCAAGATTTGATTTTTGCAACATTGGATAGATTTCAAAAAAATCTTCATTCTCGGACTCAAGAGATAAAAATCCAAGCAGATTAAAAGGTTGGTGTGTAAGCAAATCAGAGCCAAAAGGGGCACAATGGATCAATTAGATTATTCCTAGAACACCAGTTTAGAGATTAGGAGTGCATAACAACTGAATCAAAATTTGATTGAAAAAGTAAATCCGGGCAAGGTTTTCCTCAAATCAAAACTCTTCCACTATACTTGTGTTCCACACGGATGTGCTATTTGAATAAGTAAATTTTATAGCTCATAATAATAATAATAATAACTGTAAAGGGATAACAATGAATTCTAGCGTAGCTTCTGCAAAATCAAGCAAAAAGAATGGGACAGAAAACTGGAATCCAATCCAGCATAGAAGAGAACATATTATGCTGCATTTTTCTTGTTCCTGAAGCTCTCTTTTAGTAGTGTAAATTTCTTTTTACACTGGTTCACGGTTTTCCCAGGAACAGCAGCTGCAACCCGTTCCCAGCGTTGGCTGACTTCCTTTGGAAAGGTTTTGAGAGCTTGAACCAGTGCCCTTTCTTGAACTACAGACCATGCATCTCCTTCAGCCACATTTGCAGCAAGGTCATCAGTAGGGGGGTTTTGGCAGCTTGAACTTTGGCTGGGAGAGCTCTGTGAATTTGGCACCTTACTGCCAGAATTGTTTTCAGTTTTGTTGGCATTTGATGTTCCCTCCACTTCCTCCCTCGTTGTAAGAGGGGATGCAATTGTTTGTGCTGGCTTTCTCTTCTCAAGGAAAGAGTCGAAAGCTTTAGCAGAGTCTGGTTTCTGAAGAAGAACAGTTTTTGTGGCCTTTAGAATCTCCTCAACTGTCCTTCCAGTACCAATGTACTCCGAGATAACTTCCCATCTCCGAGACGTTCCTTTAGGATATTTCTGCACTCCCTTTCTCAAAAGATCAATTTCTTCTTTCGTCCACTCTCTCTCCTTTTTCTCATTGCTGCTGAATGGGTTCTGTCCATTAGCTGCTGAACTACCATTTTGTTGAACATTTTTCTTCTCATGTTTAACATTTTTCTTCTCATTCAGTTTCTCATCCTTTGAGTTGTCATCACGTCCAAGTGCCTCCCTGAGAAGCTCTGCTTTTGCAATCCCTACCCTTCCCTCAATCCCATCACACAAATTCTTCAGCTGATCAATATTTAAAGCAGTACATAGATGTTCCACATCATCATTTGTGAGGCCAAGTAAGTTCTCAGACAACAAAGGTGCTGAAATTGTACGCAAACGGGTTCGCTCTTTGCGCAATAGTTTCTTCTCTTTCTCTTTCAATTTCTTTTGCTGCAAAGCAGCTTCAGCAGCACGTTTTTCCTCTTCCTCTTTTCTACGCCTCTCCTCTTCGGCAATTCTGGCTGCTTCTTCCTCTTGCAATTTCTTTGCCAAAACTTTGGCCTCCTTTTTCCTCTGCTTCTCAGCTTTTTCCTCCTCTTTTCTTCTCACAATTCTGGGGTCTCTTTTATAAGCATTATCAACAAGCATACGTATCCTTGCATATTCTTCCTTCCTAGCCTTCTCTGTCAACTTTGCATTCTGCCTTTCCATCCATCTTTTATGATCACGAGATTCAGCTTGTTCAAGGTCAAACTCATCGGCATGGGGAAACTCCCTCCAGCTTTTGAAGCTATACCAAAAGTCATAAAAGCTATCCACTTCTTTAAATGGGGTATTGTCATTCCCTAACAGGGGGACAGGTTGGCTGACAGACCAGCGACCATTCCTTAAAAATGCAGGTCCAAAAACCTTAAAGAAATCCTGTGGGGCACATTCTGTTGGGATTTCATCATCAAATTCATCGGTGGAGTCAAAAACTCTTCTTCTAATAGGGTCAATCAAAACTTCATACGCCTCTTGGATAGCTTTAAAGTGGTTCTCTATTTCTTCTTTCTTTGCCTGCTTTGCAGCCTCAGTTTCTTCAGCAAGAAGAAGAATAGCCTGCTTGTCAGGGTGATGCTTCAATGCAGCTTCCCGATAGCTCTTTCTTATTTGATCCTCAGTAGCAAGATATCTCAAATGGCTCAGCCCCAGCAATGCATAATGATCCTGCTCCTTTGCCTCAGCAGAAGATTTCTTTTTACTCTTACTACTATATGATTCAGAAGAATAGAAGTTAGACTCCTCCTTGTCCGTAGGCACATCCTGATTACTATCTTCAATGTTTTCCTCCTCAAAACAGCCAATCAGCCTGAGTGCAGCAGAGTGAAAAGAATGCCCCGCAGGCTCAAATCTGCCAGCTTTAATGGGAAGGCAGTTTGAGGAAACAAAGATTGGTTCACCATTTACAATTTCTTTCTCATAGGAAATCAGACGCAAAGTATCCCTAATAGCCATTAAGTTTCAATGAAGGAGACACAAGCCCTCAAACTCTTCTGGAAGATAAGTGCCAATAAACCCAGCAACAGCTTAAACTTGACTGAGACTTCAAAAAGCAGACTCAGCAAATCCCAGTCTGCAATTCATCAAAAAGCATCAATCAGGATGGATGATGAAAAAGTTAAAATAGAATAGGCTACCAATGCATCATGCAAACATAATTCACAAATAATCACAAGTAATTAGTACTTTATTATACTTATAAGACTGATGTACAATCATGAATAAGAAAACAGGTAACAAGTGTTGAAGCCTAAAAACCTACAGAGGAGGCAGGAGACATTTTCAAACCACTAACAAATAACATGCAATGTTAACAGAGAGAACCAGGGCAAGTTACTAGCAATCTACCATAATCTTTAGGGTACAACATGTTAATACTAAAGGGCGCTGAATCACCTCCACTTCCCTCATCACACTGCGCCTTACCAAATTCAACAGCTCAATATTGTCTGCCAAACCTATGCTTACGACTAAAATCGGTATCAACCGCATCTAAATGGATATAACATGAGAAAGAAACATGAAACTAACTCTCGTTAAATGCTTTTCAATGTGTGTGTGCGTTTCTTTTTCCTTTTTCTCTCCCAGGGAAAAAAAACAAAGAAATCCGATTTTGAAATTTTACTGAGTTCAAAACGATTCTTTATCTTGTCGTCCTTTATAAGAAACCGAATTCAAACCAACAAACAAAACAAAAGAAAACGAAAAAGAGAAAGGAACCGGATGATTCACCTCTCCTTTCACCATCAAATTAGGCTTTGAATCTAATTGCCGATCCTCCCGTCAGCGTTGAGCAAGGAGGAAGACGGTGGCTCCGTTGTCTGATCCGAGAGAGTTGCGGCCGCAGAAAGTGCGGTGCTAGCTTGCTAGGGTTTTTATTCAGCAGTACGTAAGTCAGGAGGGAATGAAAACCAAAGTGCGCAAGAAAAGAAGGATTTGGTAAATTTTGTTATTTAACAACGATGAATTTATACGAGTTGATACCGTGAGCAATATTCATGGGCCGGGTTTCAGTTATTACTGGGCCTATAACAACGATTATGGGATTTGGTCCAACATCAAGAGTTTTTTTTTTTAATATTATTATTTTTTTTTTAACATCAACTAGTATTTTCACATGTGTTATGTACGGAATGGATTTGTTATAATATATTAAGAATATTTGAATTTATATATAATTATTTAAATTATAACATCAAATATTATATAGGACAATTGAAGATATGGTTTGGATTGTTTATATTGATGTTATCATTGCTTGAATTCGAGCAAATATTGCTCAAATTAATAGTTAATGTGTAGATGTACACATGTTGTGTTGTAATTTTAGAGATTTTATATATCATTGTTTATTATTTTTATAAATTGGGCAAATGTGCTCGTTCTCTAATAACTTAGTTATAGTAATCAATTGCTATTCTAATTCATTTGTATAGAGTATATATTTTTGTCTAGATATATAACAATTTTGTCATTTTGAAAAAAATATATAATATCATCGATTGTATTTATACATTATTGAAAATCTCTTTGTAAATGATATTGATAGTCACAACACAATATTGTCCATCTTCGTCTAGAGCTAACACCTTCAGGCCATCAAAATGGGTGACTCGTGAGAAAGCTACATACAAGGTGAGTTAGTGTTTGACCTTAGCTTTTGTTGATAGTCATGGCATATGCAAGCATCAACAATAATTGTTTACTCTGGAACTTGAAGGACAATCTCGTATCAAAAGGAGTGAGAGACATTTCGGGGGGGAGGGGGGGATAAGAACTTTGGTTCCTTCACATGTCCCATTAACTATTCTTGTTTCGACAATGTGATCTTCTAATCTTGTGATGATGAGCCGTGTCCCGTTATAAAGACAAAGAGAATGGTCTATGTTCCGCAATAACATACCATGTGCACTGACATTTAATGTCAATGAATGATTAGGAAGACCCAACAATCTCAAACTATTTAATTAAGAATTCAGGAGTGTGTACTTCTGATAGATTTTCACTGTCTGATTCTGCCTTATACAAAGAGCCACAACTTAAATATGTTCGTCCTCCTGCAGTATTCATGTCGCACATGTATTGATTAATTTGATCAACGACATCAAAAGTCGGCGAGAGGATCACTCGACCTTCTAGCTGCGACTCATCAAGCATGCTATATCTCGAGCTTGGGAAGGTGCTTTCCACTATAGTTGCTATGAGATCGTGCTCACACTTCAACAAAAACCGTGCCGGAATATCGATCTCAAATGAACCACCGTTTACAACCCCTGCAATCTATTTTGAAAACCAATCAAGCGTATATTTATCTTCCTCTGAAGCTAAGATCCGTAGTATCATGTTCTTGGTGAGCCTTAATACCTTGCAATTTGTCCATATTTATGAAGAATTAATAGTTGTTCAGACAACTATTGGTCTTGTTGCTTTCAGAATAATAGGTAGGATCTGTCTAAAATCGCCAACCAAAACTACTGTCTTTCCACCAAAAGTCTTTTTAGCACTATCCGGTATGGCGAACCTCAATAGACCCCTCATGGTTTGTCCAAATCCTCAAAACAGTGTTTGTGCGTCATCAATGCTTCATATCTTATTATCAATTTGCTCCTTATTATAAGCACATCAAGGTCACTACATTGCGATATATTGCACGTGGAATCTTCATTCAAAGAGAGTGGTATGGCAAATATGGAATGCGTCGTCTTGCCTCCCGGCAAGACCAAAGATGTTATTCCGCTGGAAACAACATTTAGAACAATACACCGCGACTCCTTATCTTTGACAATAACACCTTATGAATATAAAAAATATATATAGAGATTAACGTAAAATTACCGTATAAATTACACGAAATAATGATAATGATAATTTATTTTGTTCTCATATTATTATACCTAAATATGAGCGTGTGTGTGTGTATAATCAAAAAAATAATTGTAATTATAAAAAAATTCAATGGTCCATGTTTAATTGTAATTATACTAATATTTGTGTAATTATTATCTTATTTAACATAATAATTATCGGTGTAATTAATTTCTTAATTAAACTCATTAAAATTTTAATATATTAGTTGTTTTAATATTATATTGTGCAATATATTTAATATTAAACTCATTCTATCTTATACGAATTGGAGTATGTACTGACTGAATAATATTGTTGAATAGAAATATGAATTTTAATATTGTTGTATTGTATTATGAATAGGAATTTTAATTTAGAATTGTAGTACGAATAATAAAGTAGGAAGCAATATATTGTATTAGGAATTGTACTTATTGCAATATTTTACAATATCAACAATCTATTTAATATTAAACTCATGATATCTTATATGAATTGGAGTAGCGACGGAATAATATTGTTGAATAGGAATAGGAATTTTAATATTCTTGTATTGTAGTACAAATATGAATTTTAATGTAGAATTATAGTACGGATAGGAAAGTAATAAACAATATATTGTATTAGGAATTGTATTACAGTATTTTACAATATTACGCAAACCTTAATACTATAGGAAGTTAAAATTAAGGATTTTTATTATTATTATTAATAGTATAGATAGTATAGAAGTATAGATTGGCGGGGGAAACCCGGGATTTGAGTTGTTAAACTATGGGCCAAGGTCCACCTTGCAAGGTGAAGTGGTGGACTCTGGTCCTAAACGACGTATAAATTGTGTATTTTTAGTATTGAAATTGTAAACTTTTAGAATATAAATTGTGTTTTTAAGTCAAAATACATAACAGTTGTCAGGGTCATTAAATCTTAATCTGCTAATACTGTGTGACTGCAGTATTTAAAAGATAAATTGTAAATATTTAATATGTAAATTGTAAACAACATTTGAATCCGGGTCAGAGTCCACAGAATAATTTGTGCCGGCATTTACACTGGGAATGCAAAGCGCCTATGGGAGCTTCTTTGACAAGGAAAACCTTGCCGATCTTCTAACAAAAAAATAAAGCCTCCACCCAAACTAGTGGGACGCCAAGCTCAAGCATATATTTGGAGCCAACATAGAGGATTTGGCCAAACCATAGTCTTATTAAGCTCCTTGTAAATGTGCTTTATCTCCAACAAAGGCAAATTATACTGGACCGTGGTCCATAATGTATTATTGCTAGAGATGTTATTATTTATGTTATTATTTCTATTAATTATGTTGACTATTCTTTGTATTAGATTAGTTAATTATGGCTTTCCTAGTTAATAGGATTAGTTCACGCTGTGTATTTAGAATACTGTTCTGTAATCTCTATTGTGTTGGAATTGAAACTGCAATCCTTATCTCATCTAGTATCAGAGCCAGGTTGGATTTCTCTCTCCTCTCAATCATTCTTCGATCAATTCCGATCGACAACTCCTCCCCCAAAAGTCGACGGCGATACACCATGTCTACTAACTCTTCCGAGAGAACAGTATCCGCCGGCGATCCTACCCCCCCTCACCCCACTGCAAATTCCCTGTCAGGAGCGCACCATTTTGTCTCCATCAAGTTGACGTATCGCAACTACTTGTTTTGGCGAACGCAACTGGTGCCTTTCCTCCGTGGCCAAGAACTTTTTGGGTACGTCGACGGCGAGACTCCTTGCCCTCCACCGACAGTGCCAGCAGCTCCGGTCTCCGATGGATCCACGTCCGCCGCCACCACTGCTGCGCCGGTTCCGAATCCCGAATACCGGGCGTGGGTGAAGCAAGACCAGACGCTACTCTCCTTGCTGATTTCATCGCTTTCCGATGAAGTCATGCACCTGGCTGTCGGGAAAACTACGTCACGCGCCGTTTGGGAATCCATAGGCATAAAAACGGTGTTGTTTTTCTTTTACAGCACGTTTGGTTCACGGAATGAATTTTGAGGTAATAGGAATGCTATTCAATAAAGAATGGAATAGGCAAGGAATAGAATAAGAATTGTATTCTATTGTTTGATTCGCGGAAGGAATAGACTTTAGGAATTATATTACCGTGTTTGGTTGGTTTAAGGAATAGAAATGAAATATGTTTTGAAAGACATAAATACCCTTATAAAAATATGTGGTGGTGTCGATGGTGGCGGTGTTGTTGGTGGTGGTAGTGGCGGCGGCGACGGCGGCGGTGGTGGTAGCGGTAGTAGTGCCGGTGGTGGTGGTGGCGGCGGCGGCGGTGGTAGCGGCGGGTGGTGGCGGTGCTGTTGGTGGTGTTGGTGGGGTGGTGGTGCTGGTGATGGTGGCAGCGGTGGTGGCGGCGGCGACGGTGGTGGTGGTGGTGGTAGCGACGGTGGTGGCGATGCTGATGGTGTTGGTGGGGTGGTGGTGCTGGTGGCGGTGGTAGCAGTGGTGGTAGTGGCGGCGGCGGTGGTGGTGGTGGTGGTGGTGCTGGTGGCGGCGGCAATGCTGGTAGCGATGGTGGTGATGGTGGTGGCGATAGTGGTGGTGGTGGCAATGGGGGTGGTGGTGGCGACGACGGTGCTGGTGATGTTGGTGGGGTAGGGTGGTGGTGCTGGTGGCGGTGGGAGTGTTGGGGTGGTGGTGCTGGTGGTGGTGACGGAGGTAAAATAGGAAGTATAAATTTTAGACTATTCCTGAGAACTCAGTAATAGCCTAATACCGGGGGGCCCTGGTAATAACTATTACCTTATCTGGGGGAATGAGGTATTACCGGGAATATTATTCCCGGTAATAGAAACGATTACCAAACAAAGGAATATGCCTATTACTGGGAATGTTATGCCATTCCCGGCCTATTCCGTGAACCAAACAGGCCATTAATGAAAAGAAACGGTAACTCTAGACAATCGAGCCATGAAATCCACTGCACAAATATGTTCCCTGTTAATCGCCTCTAGATGCCAAATTTCAAAGCATCGAAGCTCCCTTTTTTTTACATGCAAATAGAATATTATGAGCCACAGACGAAGGTGGTAAGGCATTGTTGATGAAGAAGCTCGCAACCTCCATGGCATTCAATTCGTTTCCAATATCACCTTCTTAAAGCCTAAGCAGGCTGCAAGTTGAATGTCTTTTAGCAGGGACCATGCCTCTGCTTCTTGTGGAGAGCATTTACCTATACAGTATGCAAAACCATGTTTTTTGGACCATGATGAAATTACATGCAAGTTATATTTATTATATATGAAATTTAAATGAATAATTAGTTATGACAAATAAATAAAAATCAATGATATAATGCTACAAAATTAAGATAGTATGACTAAATGTGTCAATACCATAAAAATTGATAATTAAAATTGAAAGAGTTAATACATAAAATGGTTCATTGACTATTTCATAATTCTTAAATTGGTCATTTGCCTATGCACGATTTTACTTATTTTAGTAATTCAATATTACTAGTAATGACTAAATTTAGTAAACTTTTTCATAGTTGATGGGAGTTATTTTAGGTGAATTGGTACTCGAGGAGTATTTTTGAGAATTATGTCATAGTTAATGGATTGTTTTAGATATTGACCTTGTTTGGTAATATAGTTAGCTTATCAGTCAATTTTAGTTTATTTGATCACTGTTAGCTGTTTGATTTGGTTAAATAATCAATATGAGTGTTTGATTAACTAGCTTTTTGTAACATCTTATTGCTCAAAAATGAAAATTCAAAAAGCTTATTTGAGTAGTTTTTTCAATTAATTTTTTGTTTTGTGAAAGTCATTTTACATGTAATCATATATTAGCTAACAACTAATTTACTAAACACTTTTCTACAATCAGCTAATGCTATCAACTAATCAAACCCACTAATCCAATCAGCTAACGATTATTTACCAAACACCTCATTATCTCAAATTGAAATTTGCTTAATTAAGAAAAATACAATTGCTAATGATAATATTGCTAAACAATTTATCAAAGAGGTTAAATTGAAACCAATGCAAACATGAGACTAAAATGATATCATGTGCAATATGGACAATTTTAATGAGTTTAAAGAAAAAATTGGACTTTTGTTTTTGCATTTAATTGTGAATTATATTGAATATAATAAAAATTACTAAAATACAAACTATTTTGATGATAATCTATTTTAACTTGTTATAATCTTGTAATAATTTATTAAATAAATTATTCATAAAATTAATTTTGATGTATAATAAAAAAATAACATTATAATATTTAAATAAAATTAATTTTAAATGAATTAAATGTTATTATTTACCTTTAAAATGGATTAGGAGGAAATCGCATAGAGTAACAGAGTGCAGGGGTGACTTCAATTATTATAATATAAAAGTGTGGGGTAGAAATAGTATTATCCAAAGCTGAGGGGCGATTTTCTCCACTTTCGCTATTGCGAATTCAAAGATTCGTTTCCGTGAAAACTCACCGGATCGGATCCAAGGCTGCTCCGGTTTGCGTCGCTCGGTGTTTCTCTCTCTCTCTCTCTCTCTCTCTCTCTCTCTCTCTCGCTCCGGTTTGCAATCTGTGTGTCCAATTCGATGATATCGTCATAATCGTGGAATCATACCATGAGGAAGAAACTTGATACCCGCTTCCCTGCGGTAAGCCCTCATTTCCTGAAGTGAATTTCCATTTCATCGTACGTGTTGTCTAGTTTCAGAATTGGGAAAGTTCGAGTCTTTGTCCCAGTAACCTATAGTAGTGCTTTGGAAGTAATAATCTCTTTCGATTTTATTTTGTAATTTTATTCTATTATTGATATCTGTTGGCATTTAAGCACGAAGGAGATGAGCTTTGTTTATTGTTCTTATTTTTAATATCTAAAGTTGATTTTTTTTTTTTTTTGTTTTAAAAAAAAGTTGATTTTTTTTTTTTTTTTTTTTTTGGGGGTGTGTGTGCATTTTTATTCTGAATTTGAGGAAATTGGTCTCAAGAGTTCTTAGAATGAAGCTAAAATTACTAACTGATTAAGAAGAGGCAGGATCTCCTTTGTTTGTGTGTAAAATAATTATATTTATGCTTATTACTTTCAGTAAGTGGGAAAGAAATATTGACCTCACCATCTTTTGTTTGAGAATACTTCCTTAAGTTGTGGTTAGTTCTAACTATGCACATTTGTACAAGTGAAGATGCACTTGGATGATAAATGTGATTGCATTAAGTGATATAGTCTCCGGGACCGGCCGACCGGGAGGAGAAAAGTGGAAGGATTGGCAGTTTTGGTGCTACAGATGTATAAGGAATAGGAAAAAAGCTCTGATTTTGTTTGAGTAATTATTTGCCCCACTTGACCTGTTTGTAGTGACTACTGAAATCACCATCATCAACAACATTAGCTATCAACGAAGTAGAATATTCTAGTCAACCTGCGATTTTATGATTAAGTGCTCATTTAGCCTAGCTAATTGCTTCTCCAAAAAACTGGCTTTTCTGAAAAGCTTTGATTTGGAGTTTCTTGGGAGTGAGATTTTCTCCATTTATCTGATCTAAAGACTTTATCATGCTTTTACTCTTTGGCCTAAATTTTACTTTTTAGAGTAGATAAGCTCCACAAATTTGGGCCCTACAAGGACTGATTTGGCTTGAACATTTTTTGTTGAGTTTTGAATTAAACATTCTCACCCATCTCATTTAAATCCTGTTTATGACTTTTGCCATCCGTTCCATATTAATACAAGCTGTGTTTTTAACTGTACAAAGGCATCATAACATCATAGATCTGCTTTGCAAATCTGTCAACTTGATCCAAAACATAGGCTCCAGACTTCCAGCCCTGTATAAACAATTAAACATGTGTTCAGGGGGAACAATATTCAGTCTGATTTTAAAGGGAAAAAAAATCTCTTCTTGTTATTGTCTTTGTGGGCTGTGAGTGGTAGATTGCATGCTTTCTACATGATGGATATATAGTTTCTTTAAAATCAGGTTGAATCTTCTATGTGAAGTTGTAAAAGCAATTGAAAGTCCATTATTTGCAGGAGAGTTATCTGTTACAGACTACATGAGAGCTGAAAATTAATGCACTAATGTATGAAGTGCAGCAGTTGCCTCTATTATGTGCAATCTTATATGTTATGTTTTTGAGTTGATCTTCTGAAGATCTTAGTTATGGTTATCTTCATGAAAAAAAATGCTTAGGCCCGAATCAAGAAGATTATGCAAGCTGATGAGGATGTTGGTAAAATTGCGATGGCAGTGCCTGTTTTAGTATGTAAGTCACTGTTGACCACTTTGCCTTTTGTGTTTGATTTTGTAATCTAGTTTCCTTCTCAACGTTTACTCTTTGTATCATCAATGCAGCTAAAGCCTTGGAGTTATTTTTGCAAGATCTCTGTGATCGGACATATGACATAACTCTTAGTAGAGGAGCAAAGACTGTTAATTCATTGCATTTGTGAGTGAATTTTTCATTTTCCATTCACCTGATAATTTATTTATTTATTTATTTCTGGATACATTTGGACTACTTACATCTTTGATACTTACTTTTGCAAGTTATATGGTAATCTAAGTATGGAACTGTAGGGGCTTTGCTAGAATATCCTCACCTTTGGAACACTTTGATAGTGTGCCTGGTAGAATTATCTGAGGTGAAATGTTAAGGAGTGTGTCCTGCACTGTTGCTTTTACTTCCATTGTCAATTCTGTCCAGTAATGCATTGTGTCTGAGTAATTTTTATCTTTTTGACTGCTAATGGATAAAAGTAAAGCGAACTAAGTGTTTTAAATTTGTTGCTTCAGTTTATGTTTACGGGTCTTTTTCTCCTCATATTTAAATATTGGATATGTTTAGTTGGGACATGGAAAGAACTCTTACATGGGTTCATCTGTACTTTCGTTCTTTTTCGGCAAGAGGGACAGGGAATGGAGGTGGGGCAGCTGTTTTATTTGTGTATAGAAATTAGAATGTAGTAAGTAGGAATCTCTAAAAGTCTGATTTGCTCTAGCTATACTGTGTGTTTAGCTATTTGTTTGTGTATGCAGAAAACACTGTATACAAAGCTACAATGTGTTTGACTTTCTGAGGGAAGTGGTTAGCAAGGTTCCTGACTATGGCCATTCTGATACTGGTGCTGAGGTGCCAAAAAGGAGGTGCAAATTATTTCCTTTAGACTGTCATAGTTTATTATTCCACTGCAGTTGGTTACTTCTGTTAAGTTTGATAACATTGCATGTATTCAACTTAGCCGTCAATATTCTGTCGCTTTGTCAGGAAGATCGCAACGGATGAACTTAATGACAGTGATGATGAATGCAAAAGGAGCAGGATGGTAATACACTCTTTTATAGGCAGTTGTATATCAAATAGGAAGTGTTTCGCTAAGAAAAAGTTTTAGTTGTATGTTGTGTCAAATGTTAGATCTAAATAGTCTAACTATACTGAATATTAGTATACGAGAGATCTGACCTCGTATGAGCGGAAGCGATAGCCGTGTTGATCTCCAGCCACAATTGATGTTCCTGTTGTGTTGTCTCTTAACGGTAGACCGTTAGCCATGTTTTGCCTCAGACTAGACTCAGAACCGTAGATGGTGTATTATGCAGACAAGATACCAACTATATTGCTTTTGCCATAAAATTAAAGACTTAATATTATTAGGATTCTGATTACTTGGATATTGTTCATAGTTTTGATTGGATTAGTTATGTATTTCCTTGTAGGGAATATGCAATACTAGATACAGCAGATGGAGATTTAAAAAATCTTTACGATATTGTGAAGCTGACTTGCTCTGAAAATAGCATGTTTACTGGTGCAGGAGATGTCTCATCCAAGTGGCAGTGGTAGAGGAAGAGGTAGGGGAAGAGGACGAGGGCGTGGACGGGGAGCTCGTGCTGATAGAGATCATCGACATACTGATGTTGAATTTGATTCCAGTGTATCTTCTGAGCATACCACCATTCAAAACCCGGACCTTGGCATTTCGAAGGAAAACTGTATTGAGTCGAAGGACTCTCCTAGACCAGATGCCAATGCGACAGATGGTGACAAACCTTCGGTGAAGGATGTTAACTTGAATGCCAACTTAGATGAGACTGCTGATAAATCTGTCACCACCCCTGTAGCTGCTGCAGCTGCACCACCAGCAGCGCCTGTTAACGTTACCGATGAGCCTCCTGTGCTGACCGAGATTGATAGAATGGCTGTTGACCCGCTCCATGTTGCGCAGTTCAACTCAAATGTCGAGGAGGAAGAGGAAGATTACGACGAGGAGGAGTGACGCAATAGAATAAGAAAGCTAGGGCCTTACGTTTGTTCCGTTAGAGCAGCATCAGTTGCAAGCCCAAAAGAATGAAGAAGAGAGGGATGATGCCTTTTCTTCTTCATTTCGCTTCTAATATTATTCGTGTCTTTTATATCATTAGCTCAGTAGCTCCTGTAATCACAATATTTGCTATCTTAACTTTAGGTTTAGAGAAAAGGTCGAGCTTTGTGTTCGATGAAAAAAATGTTGTTATCATGATTGCTGTTGTTAATTTTCTAGTTAAAAACTTTACTTATCAGATTGCCTCCCAATATTCACCAGCAGCCCCTTTGCTCAGTTGCTTATGCACTATTTACAATTTATTACCCAACAGAGGGTTATGCTAATTTCCCATTTTCCCACTAGTTATTAACAAGCAATCCAAAAGAAATAACAGAAATTAATTTTTAAAAATTAACTGATTTTCTACTCAACTCCAAACAGCGTGCAATATAAAATCCTCGAGTCATTTGACGGATCCCACATCGGAGAAACAACATATAACACTAGTAGCCAGGCTCCTTATAAACAGATGCCACAACAATGCTTTACTCAAGCAGCCATGCAGTGAACACAAAGCGAACTATTCTTTCGCCTTTTACTAAAGAATACCGTGTGTGCATTGCAATGAATGGCATACTCCAATTTTTTGATGGTGTTTCTCCTTAGGGAGAAGCCCAACAAATCTAGTTTTAATAATTAATAATTAATGGTTTAATTTTGATTTCGTTGTCAATTTCAATTTCATTGTTTCTGAGTGTGCGATGTGGAAATTATAGTTCCTGTTAAATTCACAGCTGAATTTCTCAGTCAATTCCAAATTCATCTTTGATTTGCTGTGTATCATTGTGGATAATGTTATATATAAGGGAGCTTACGGAGATAGGCGTATTGAAATGTGATGAACACAGGGCGAACAAACACGAGTCCCACATCGAAATAACAGCAGAAACATTAGTGGCAGGTCTCCTATAAAAACAAGTATAGAATGCCACAACAAACTCAGCGAACTACTTTTGAGGGTGTTTCTCCTGAGGGAGAAGCCCAACGATATTTTGAGGGTGTTTCTCCTGAGGGAGAAAGCCCTGGTGTTTCTCCTGAGGGAGAAGCCCAACAAGTCTAGTTTTAATGTAATGTTCAATGTTTCTAAATGTGCGAGATGGAAATTACCTTTCCTGATATATCAACTGTTAAATTTTCCAGTTGATTCTAAAGACGTCTTTGATGTGCTGTGTTCCATTGTGGATATGTTTTATAAAGGGGAGTTAAGGAGAAAGGCAGGTGATTAAGACTTTGCTTGCAAACACGATATCAACTGTTAAATTTTCCAGTAGATTCTAAATACGTCTTTGATGTGCTGTGTTCCGTTGTGGATGTGTTTTTATATAAGGGGAGCTTAAGGAGAAATGCAGCAGGTGATTAAGACTTTGCGAGCAAACACGTTACCAGTCCCACATCGAACAGTCAACCGAAACATTGGTGGCCAGGTCTCTTATAAATCCAAGTACTGAATCTCACAACAAATTCAAGCAGCCATGTAATGAACACAAAGCGAACTATTCTTTCGCCTTTTACTAAAGAATACTGTGTGTTTGTTACAATCAATGGCATACTCTAATTTTTGGAGGGTGTTTACTCCTAAACACCCGGCAATAATAGTAGTTTAATGAAAAAATTTTCTGGTTTATCAATTCTATTATTCAGCTCTCTTGTTGAGTATGGAGTTCTCTATTCATTCCTGCTTTTTAGCAGGTAATAATTGTGTTTTGAGTATAATATTTAATATTTAAAGCTCCATTTAATTTACTGCCCATTTGTCTGTATATATTGCTCAATCAGGTTTTTACACAGCCATGCGTTGTGAAGAGCTTTATTATGATTGAATTTCCCAGCCCCTCCAAGAAGCAAGCATTGCACAGTTGCTTTTCCATTTCTTATAGTTGCTTTTCCATTTTCTTGTGATCTATAAAAAGATTAGCAGGCAAGAAAAGTTCTGAACAAGTGTTGGAGCCAGTTCATGGCGTCTGTCTGATATACATGCAAAATCTGATGGCAACCCTTTGTCTGGGCAACCACTGTTTTTCCTCCAACAAGATACAATGCTGTAAAAACTGATTATGGTGAAGCTATCTTGTATTGATAGGTGTGTAAGACAATGCAATTAGAACAACTTGATTTGTAACTCTGAAGTTTATATCATATTGTACTTGTAGTATTTAATGGAATTTTTAGAGTTACTAAAATTTCTTTTCTACTGGCTGGCACAGAGATGTGCTCTCTTCATTATCATGAGTAGGTAGCTGCAATTGTGATTCAGACATATATCATTTGTAGTTGTTGAGGGAAAGGCAATTTAAAGAAGCAAAACTTTTCTAGTTATCTTCAAACTTTTGTTGATTCCTTGACAACATTGTGTCAGTGGCTTTTTTTGCAGTTTGATGAAATGAGAAGTGGCTCTCAGTTTATGAGAATAATAGTTCTGTGAATGATACTCCGTATTATTATATTATTGATCAATCTATGATGATGTAAAGTAAAAAGGATACAAAAAGTCAAGTCAGGATATGAATGGTAAGGGTAATATTTATATAAGGCGTGGAATAATGAATTTTAGTGTCTAGAATACAGAGTCGTAATACGCCCTTCAAACTTACGGTTTTCTAGAGAGAATATTGAACTTGTCCTTTACATCATTTAGGTGGTTAGTGACTTGGTGAGGATGCTTTGTTTTGTTGTAGAGATAAGAGTTTCCTTGGAACACCTTTGATGCTACTTTGTCATGAACAAAATAAAAGAATCATGACGGACCAAACTTTCGGCCTCAGGATCGGCTACAACGGAACACGTATCCAGAGAGGAGCTACAATGAAAAACTCATTCGGAGCGTAGCTACAACGAAAAACTCATCCGGAGCGTAGCTACAATGGAACACTCATCTGGAATGCAGCTACAACGGAACACTCATCCGGAGCGCAGCTACAACGGAACACTCATCCGGAGCACAACTACAACAGAACACTCATCCGGAGCGCAACTACAACATGACACTCATTCGAAGCCTTAATAAATGAAGTCGGACACAGAAACGTGTCTTCAACGTATCCACTGTGATTTTAACAACGAAGAAAGGGAACAAGTTGAGTCTTCCAAAACAGATACTTTGAGAAAGTATGTTTAATGTAGATAAAGTGTTGGGTTGTTTGTATGGTATTTATCGGGGCTGTGGTTGGATATAAAATATCGAAGATGTGTGAAGAGGATATGGTGTCACCGGCCGGCAGCGGCGCGACGGGGGTTTAGTGGCGGCGGTCGTGGTTTTTTTTTTTTTTTTTTTTTTTTTTTTTTTTTTTTTTGTAGTGTTTTTAGCCATGGATCGTTTAGTCTTCTGATACTATATGTCTATATGAGAACAATAGTTCTGAGAATGATATTATTATTGATAAATTCATGATAATGTAAAGTAAATGATGAAGGGATGTATTTAAAATGATACAAAAAGTCATTTGAAGGATACAAAGAGACAATGATGTAAATTGAAAAGGATACAAGGAGACAATGATGTAAATTGAACGTTACAAGGGTGAACTTGTTGCCAAATGGTTCAATCAAGTTAAAGGAGAAGATTACTTTGACACTTTTAGTCCAGTGGTCAAGCCAACTATAAATAAGTTAGACTTCTCTTATTTCTTGTCATAACAAAAAAACTGGTCAATTTGTCAACTTGATGTTCACAATGCCTTCCTAAATGACTCCCTAAGTAAGAATGTTTTTTATGAAGCAACCGTCAGTATACATAGTTTCAAATGGTCCAGATCTATAGGATAGACATGGTTGTCACGAGATAACCACTTCTATTTGTGGAAGGAGATAGCCATCGACTGTTGAAGATAGTCGACATCCAGTGGATGTATTACATTGTAGTATCTATTCAAACATACTTGTCAATCTGAGATTCACTAACTTGCTAAACAGGTTAATTGTGAACTCAATTGAATATTTTAGCCAGTTTAGAGGGTCTGAATTGAACTTATATATATATATATATATATATATATATATATATATATATATATATATATATATATATATATATATATATATATATATATATATATATATACAAGTATTTTTTATGCGCGATGCGCAAAATAGGTGCCCAATATTAATACATTATATTAAAATTTTAAATTTATTTAAATTTTAGATATTTAAATTATTCTAAATAATAATAATAATGTAAATCATTTTTATAAATTTGATATTTATATTTATGTAACAATTAACATATAACTCAAATATTTAATATGTATATTATTATTAAGGAATAAGGGTCAAATAGGCCATCGAACTACACAAGTAAATGCAATTAGGCCACTGAACTCAAAAAGAATGCAATTGGGCCACTGAACAACGCAAAATATTGCAATTCAACCAAAAATGACTTGTGATGGTTTTAGGGTTTTCGGGCCCAAGGAGGTCCAACACAACCTTTGGCTGGTGGGTGCACCTTTCAGTAAAATGTATGCTTGTCTCAGAGATAAGGCGAGTACTCGGAATCTTTTTGGTATTTTCCCCCTCTGGGTGTTCAATCGTCTGTCCTTTTACAAGAATGGAGGAACCTTTATATAGTGGCTCCTCCTCTACCGACTTGAAGGCCTTTAATGGCCGACTTCAAGGCTAATTAAGATACGAAGCCGTTGGACGCCATTACTCGGTCGACCAACGGCTCTCCCAGGCTTGTAACGGCCCGACCGAGTCCTGCTTTCAATGTCTTAACGGCTCCCTTTTAAACGAACCTCTTCAATGCTCTCAACGGCTCCTTGAGCCGAGTCCTTTCCTGGGCTTGGGCCTCGGTCGACTCCTTGTCTCGGCCTAAGCTCCTACTGGACTCCTCTTAGCAGCTCGGAACTGGGCCCCGTGCTTGGGCCTGGGCCGACTCCCGGACTCGGCCCAATTGCTCTTCGGGCTCCTCTCGACACTGGCCCACTTCTCCTATTTATTTTCTTTGGGCCCCTATCTCTAGGGCCGGGGTCCTCACCCCATCAACTAGTCCCTCACTTTTCCATACCCGGTCCGCTAGCCTGGGTTTGGAAAAGTAGCAACTGTCCATCCCCCTCAATCACCGTATCTTCGCCTTGAATAGCTTTCGATAACGTCCGGATCCTCAGCCATTCCCTCCGGATCTCGCGGGGCCGTTTGGATTCTTCCGTCTAAGCTTGGCACCTATAAATGGCGTCCTTCCTTCTCTTTCACCTTCTCAAGTC